ATAAGAAAGGAACCTTATAATGTTAATGCTTTTAAATATAAATTATTTGTACATCATCATCATCATCAACTTCACCTAGTCCATACGAAGTGTCAGCACAGTATTGAATACTCTTCCATACTCTATCAGCTGTCATATCTGAATTGACTCCCTTCTTACGCATATCTTTCACATAATACATCCATACTTTCTGTTGTCTTTTTCTAAATTTACGTCTATCCACATTCAATCTCATTATGTGTATGCAAATTGAATTTAATGTCTAACAAGAATAAACAGGAGAAAAATATTTTTGAAGGAAGCAATTTTGTTAAAAATAATTTCCAATACAGACAAGTACATTAAAGATTACATCGGATAAATTGTCTATCGTATTTAATGAACAATGTGACTTACAAATTTTTGACGCGCTTTTTCCTGAGGCGTTCATTTTTTTTCACTTTCCCGAGGGATTTATGCTTTAACAACGTGTTCATTTTGTTTGTTAAAGCTCTACTGAAAATGTTTCAGTCAGTAAATTGAAGACGATGTTATAAATTCGTTGTTAATATCGGCGTTTTCTTTAAAGATATCCAAAGATATAAGTAAGTTCTATAAGTCAATAAGGTGGCAAAAGTGAGAAAAAGTGCCTTTTGCTAACTATAGATGTCACCACGATCAAGAGGGACTGTAGCGTTGAAATACCACAGATATACAAAAAATACTCTATACACAAAGTACTATGGATTGTGGTCATAGCAACGACTAACGTTAAATTTTATACAAAACTTTAAAAAATAAGTTATTTTCAAAGGCAGAAAATTATTAACAACAAGAATCGCCGTTTCCAGCTGTGGATGCAATCCTGTATCGGAGCACCTTTTTAATTCCCGTACAATGAAAAAAGATGAAGGAGGATTCTTAATTTTTATTAAAAAATCGCGAGAATGACATATAAGAACTTTGACAGATGACAGCGAACTTTTAGCGTTGGCGCCATCTACTCAGAACTTTCAGTTTCTCTCTCCATTATTATGGATGTGTAAATAACGTTCATGGTTTAAGCTCCCTTCAGTCTTACGTATAACATAAGGAAAATATTACTTTTTGCTCAAATGTAACCATTGGATGAGGGAAATCGATTTTACTGGAATCTGCTAACAAATTCAAGTGGTTTTTAATAATATTTTAGTATAATACTAAGCAAAGGTGACCGTCTGGGATACAGAACGTGTCATAAAAATAAATCTTTAAGATTGAGTTTAAAAACGATGTAATACAAAAAAGTATTGACTCGGTTGACATTGGAGTGTCGATCGAAAACAAAGAATAGAGACAACGAGATAAAAAGATTGTATTCATTCAACAGAGAATCACAAAAGTGAAAAAAGGCGCAAAAAACCTTCAGTCGTATTAAATCCAACGTTCGACGGAGTGTGACGAAGTTGTTTACCTTTATGAGATTGGATTTCTATTTCGTGATTTATGTACGAAGGTGGGTAATACAAGCGTATTTCGTTCGAAGCCTTAAAATAATAATTCTGAATACCTACACCTTGATTCTTGATTATTCTAAGTATTTCAATTGAATAGCAATTCTGTTAACTCGTCTCGGTCGTTATTATGAATCACTTAACGTTTATTATAACAAACAACCGATGTCGCACTGAAAATAGTTAAGACGAATTTATGGTAACTTAAACATAATTTTCATCTATATATCAGTGAAATTGAAGTGTCTGATGTATTTCTTAAAATTTTGTCTGTCTGTATGTATGTCTGTCCGCAAGACCGCGCTTATTTTAGGGAATCTCTGCAAAAGTTGAACCGATTTTAATGGGACTTGCACGGGAAGGTAGTTGAAGCACGTGGGGATATTATAGGCTACTTTTGTTTTAAATTCTATGCTGACGAAGTGGCGTACGATCCCTAGTTGCAGTAAAGCCAGTATTAAACGAAAATGGATGTAAGTTCTTGCAATAAAAGTATAGCAAGTGGCATGTAGGTTTTTCCCGTCAATCGGGCTGTGAGTACGCCTCATTTGTTTTGGTGTCACAAATCGTTCCCCACCCGGTCACCCCGCACCCGGTACCCGGGGCTGACCCTAAGCTAAACAAAAACAGAGTGTTTCTAAACAGTCGGGTATTTTAAACACGGGCAAGACCCTAGTTATCATTGTCTCTTAAAATAGCAAGGAAAAAATGTACAAATAAAATGTTGCACAAGTTACACTAGTATTTTGTAATTTCGATGTCTGCGGCAAAATTAGTTTTCGCAAGAGTAGAAGTCAAGTGGCTGTATCTTTTATGCGAAGAGCCAATATCAATTTGAAACAATGTAACCAAAATGCCAAGTCGAGGCATGAAATTACCAGCACGGTACAGACGCAATTAAACTGTTAAAATCAGGTTTCGTCGTAAAAGTTCTTGCTCTTGAGAATATACATTAAATTTTAGATTTCACGCTTTATACCTCAAATGTAAAGAGTTACATCTGAGCTTGAAAATTAAATACATATGTTACGCGTAATGTAATTAGGGTCGGTTACAAAATCCAGTCGAGCTTCACGTAATGAGACGATTTAGTCCCTGAAATCGTACTGAAGGGCATCGAGTTCACGTTTTATTGGATTTAATATAATTAATACATTTTTATAAGTCACGATTAAAGGTCAAATCAACTACTATTAATAAAACTATTTTTTATTACTTATAATATGAATAACGTAGGCAAGTTTTGTTTTCATTATTGAATAAATGCTCTCATTTAAATGAGTCAACAATTATTTCGAACACTACAGCTGTGGACGTTCATAGATAATTCTCAATAAAACCAAAACAAAATGAATAATAAAAACTATTATAAATTTAAACGTAGAATAAATACATCCTGTAGATATTGCGGAGGGCGAGAGTATAAAACGCCTAGTAACGTCCGGCTAGCGGGTAGCGGATAGCGCGGGCCATTTATTGCCGACATGTTACCATCTATAGTTTTAATTGGCAGCCGTAGATCTACGGGCCGGCGGGCATCAGACATGTTGATGTGTGGAACAAGCAACAGACAACGACAAACTATTTATTACTTTGCGGAATTAGAAACGAAGAAATGATTAGTTGCAATCGTAAATAGTGCTTTTTCAGAATTAGTACTAGTTGGACAAATTTAAAAATTTCGTCTTATACATCCAATACTTTAAGCCTTGTAAAATAATTGCATTGAAATTAAATGAAAAAAATAAAACTATGTTAAAGTTTATTACGATTAAAATAACATACAAGTTATTTTATAACTCAAATATCCTTTATACAGTAATGTAAAAGATGCTTAAAACTAAAAAGAAAATGAAAAATAAATATTAATTTATTCCAACAAAAACTGAATATTCAACAGTACAATAGTTGGTGAAACTAGCGTTCAATTCTTAAGATAAAGTCCGCATGAATTAACGCAGGTTGCCACCAGGATTCCTATTTGATGGATATTGTATTGTGGCTTTGATCACAATAGCATGTCTGGAATACAACAATTGTTGTTTTGGTCTACAGTTAACCCATTCCAGTTCTTGATGGATATCGCATGATATTGTGCTGTATAATTGGACCTTCGAGCTATTCTGCAATGATTCGCAAATATTGTAGTGAAAATTATTTCATACATTTTAATATTTCAAGATTTATTTATAAACTATTTACAATGAAAAATATTTAGACTTAAAAGCTTGGTTATGCAGACAATGATATTTATCGTACAAATAGTTTTTGTCAATCTTACTAATATTGGACATTGTTGATTAGAATCCTTTGGCGTGAATGACGTGCTTTCGTTACAAAGTCCAGAATCAGAATGACACAAACGTCGACATTTTAGTAAAGCTAGTGTTGGGTCAATACACTGCCACATTTTCGGATTTTCTTCCTAACACTAATATCTTTCTTACTAATATTATAAAGGCGAACTGGTAAAGAATAACAGCCTAGAAGAACAGATAGGCTCCTAATTATATTTTTTTTAATTTTGTGTTGACGGAGTCGCGGGCGATAGCTAGTTGATTACAACTTTAGTTCGTATATAATTCTATCCGTAAGAAAATGAGTAGCATTCTATTTGCAAGCTGTTTGAAAAGAAAAATGTGTCCCCTTGTTTTGTATGCCGACGGTGAGCTCTTAATTGCATCTGTTTTAAGTCCGTGACTCACATTGCAATCCTTTGTAATTGTTAGTGTTTATTTGATTTTTTACGTCCCTCGTTGTGAATACAATGTTCCTTATTTGAATGATACGTAATTTGAATAAGAATTAATTTTTTGTGGAAATGTCGCGTTTGTGATGAACGGAATGAGTTAAGGCAGGCAATATCCGAGGATTTGTTGTAAAAAAAAGATCTTTTTTAATAATACTCTGACTTCTCAAGTAGCCGGAATACGGGGAAAAATCTATTCAGTTATTCAAAGTTTTAATTAATATTAATAGGAGCTCTCACTTTCAAAAGAAAGAAAACCGAAAGCAGATAAAAACTCCTTAGAAAGCCGCGTAACTTGCAGCTGCGGACTGTAAATTAATGCGAATACAATAAAGGCCCGTCTATAAAGCTAAAGCTATAGTCTGAAAACAGACAGTGAGGCCGCGAACAAAAATTAATTCCAAATTGCTATTAGTGGCCGTGAACAAAAGCCGAGCGGTGTGGGTGCGAGTCTGCAATAAACGTCACGCCAAGAGAGATAGGAAATTAAACGAAACTAAAACGAAGTCGTGCCACATCTGAGGGAGAAACTTTAGGGAGGACGTTTGGCGAGATTCGAGTTGAATTAAAAAAAAATTACGTAACGACGGCCGATTCAGTTCACCTCTTCTGTGAGCGACAGCTCGAAAAGTAGCTCTTTTGTGCCTTCAATGATTCTTTTTTTTAATTATTTTTCAATGTAGTTCCATAACCAGCGTAGTTGAGAGATAAAAAATGACAGTGTCGACGGAAAATTATTTTTGAGGTGCTTTTAAATTAAATGGTTGTTTTTACTTTACCTTTAGGCAGCGGTTCGATGACTATTTTCAGAGCGTCGATGGCTGACAGCCCACAAATAATCCAAAAAAGGGACATTGCGCTTTGCGAGGGCTTCGTTAATTCATCCATTGCTAGTCTTGCCGCAGTCTACGTAGTCAACATATTTCTGAAACAGAAAATCTTAAATCAATTTGTGTACGAGAGGATTTTTCATTAAATCAGCAATTATTCGCTGGGATTATATTAAAAGAATAAATGTAAACTTTCAATTTAAATAATTATATAGAAAACCTCTGTAAATACAAAATATTAATATTTTATTGACGAAACCTAATCAAATATTTAAAGGCTACCCTTCAATCTCTAAATTGGGCTCATCTGATATCTCAGATCTTTGAATTTATGAATATTAAGTAAGAAAGTTACACGCAAATCCTCTCGCTCCGCTTACAAATTATGAGTTTCCAAAGATTACAAGAGTAAAAAAATATTTCAAAGCTTTTTATTTATTCATTTCGATAAGTGAAAAAAACCGAAAGGGACACGTATGTCGATCAAATTAAACTTGTATTTTATAGAGTGTATCCTAAATATCCACCAGTTGTTTACAACTTACTAACGGTTGCACGCGACTTCGTCAGGAAAAAATGCCCTAAGTTACTCCAGCACACATAAGCTACCTTCCAGTAAAAGTCTCGTCAAAATATTTATTATCACGTAGAGACTTAAATTTTACTAATTGTACAGATTAGTGTTCTAACTGCCTCATAAGGGGTTACTAAGGGTGACCTTCAGTGTAGATTCTACATATTAAATTTATAGTAAGGTGGTCACCGTATTGTATCTAAGAGCTGCAGTAAGTTTAATTCCTTTGATGATTTGAAGATGAATTGTGAAGAATTTTGTTTGTTACATGTCATTGTTGGGGTTGTATTAATTGCGACGCATCATTAGCAAGTGCGGCAGAGCGAGGTCTCCGTACAAGTTGGCAGGTGTGCAATTACCCGCGCCTCCATTTACCCCGCCTCAAACCTCCTATATTGCATACATAATTATAAGCTACGATTTTCACACTGCTACGAATCTAACTGTTTGATTTATATGTATTAGTTTATTAGGTATAAGTATAAAAATGAAGTATGCGTCTGTTGTACTATCTTAAGAAGAATTTTAAGAAGGTTGGAAATTAGTTTAACATACATTATATATAACGGAATAGCAAATATAGGATAACGCAAGAAATTTTAAAAATTAGAATATTAAATGAAACCCGCCTACTAAATTACACGGTAATGTATCTGGCGTTAAACGAGTTTTAAAGTCTCTAAATTTGCTTTTTTATCGCTTTTGTTTATTCCAATCTTAACTTGCGACAATCTCCTGCAGACGATAATTGTTAGAAATCACTCGACGACCCCATTGAAGAGGGTCGCTACTTAAAACAAGGAAAAAGCAGAGTTCATTGGAACCCCGTTTGTCCGCCGACTTGATTTGGCGTTTCAGTTTTTTCATTTATTTTCGAACTCCCCTATACCTACGTACTCAGAGTTGAATTACACAAATTTAACTCTGCACTAAATTTTACAAAAATACTTTTGCCAATTCTTGAATAAGTACAGCGTTTATAATTTACTCTTTGAAGCCAAAGAAATCTAGGTTAAATATTTTATGTCTAACTGAAGGTTTCAATTACTTGAACATAACCTGAAAACAACCAAATTTTATTATTGAAGTAATATAAAATAGTACACAGTAATCATTTGAAAGTTTGAACTATTATTATAGATAAATTAAATTTATAGTTACGCGACATCTTTAAATTGCTTATACACAAATATCCATAATTACAAAGTTAAAGTTACATAAGTAATTGAACGAAATATTGCTTAGCGTAGTAATTTGAAAACACTCTCTTATCTTTGAAGCTTTTCATCTGGTGACGAACCGACCGACGGCCACGCCTGTTGCCGTAATTAAAACGCCTCCTTGTACGGTACTCTCGCACCTTTGGTTAGCGAATGAATAACCCCTTACTATCGATGTAGGTTCTAACAAATCGAATAAATATTTTTTATTTTAACGTTGTGCTAGAAATGACTATGACACTTATTCATGTAGAGTCATTCTAATAATCTTCTTCTAGTGCCTCTTCAGTCTTGAAGGTTGGCCGCTAGTCTAATAATAGATATCACTAAAATTCCATGGTAATATTTGTCTGAAGACGGTTAATATCTGATAGAAATAATCTATTTCTATATCACAATAACTTTAATAATCAAAACAAAACTATAATTGAATATCAAAAATTCCTAGCTTTTTGAATTTTACTCATAATTAAGAAATATAAAAGATAAAATCATACGTAGAAGTGTAAGTATAGGTATATAAAATAGTTCGACAATTTTACTCTGTGCGAGGTGTCGCGATGTCGCCGGGCCACACCACAACTCTAGTCGCGTTGCACCTTTAAATACCCTGTAATAATAAGACGAGTACCGTCGCTTTGAAGAAAATTTTAAATGAAATATATTAAAACTTTCACAAAGTTCTTGACTTAAAAACGCAGTAATTTAATATTTTTCGTCTTATGTTACATATTTTAAATTTAAATGAAGTTTTTTAAATTCTTTTTACAGTAAAGGTCAATGAAGACTATTTAAAAGGTTGAAATAATCTAGGAATAGAATTTACATACATACAAGCGCACTTACATAAAAAATTATATACGAGCGTAAAACATTATTAGTTTGTTAGTCAGGTTAAAAAAGACGCAAAGGTAAATTACCACAGATATAAAAATTATACTTAACCATTATTGTGGCAAGATTTCTTTTTTGAACAAAAGCTAAAAAACGTCTAGAAATGTCATGTGTTTAATAAAACTAAGTTAAAAATTATTTTATAGTGATCGTATTTTTATAAAGTTGTATGTATGGTATAATATACAATATGAACATAAGGGTTAATAAGATATACAAACTTTATAATATTTCTATTGAAATATTATAGAATGATTTTTCTCAGTGATCTCAGTATTATATTGAAATCTAACATTACCATAAGCCTCTTTACTTGTATTTCACGAGGCGTTTTTACTTGAATACGCATAGTAATTTATTATTACAAAGTTATATGACGAAATGTCACCTTCAACTGACAGAGGTTACCTCCAAGAATCTTTGATTTGACTTTGCAAGCCTAATTACTTTGTACAGCTGTTTTGTCTTACTTGAGATAATTTTATAGTTCATTGACTCTGCAGCGCTAATTAACTAAAGCAAATAACAGATATCTTGTGTTTACACGATTGTTAAACTTTAAATTGAACTGGTTTTACGGTTAAGTCTCGTTTACTTTAATACAATTTGAATACAATATTTAAAGTAGTTGGAATGATTTAGAATCGCATGGTTCAAAGGAATCTTTTACTTGTTAAATGCTACATTTGTTTTTTAAATATTGTTACGACAATTTTTTGTCGACGAGGGTGTTCAACGACGCCTTTGAGAACATAATACGCTCGAGTCTTGAAAGATCCTAATTACAAAATAATATTTAACTAGAGTTAGATAATGTAATAAAACATACTATGTTGATAAATTCAAAGCAGATTGCAAATACAGCACTAGTTCATCTTCTTCTTGAGGTGCCTCTCCGACTAGCGAAGGTTGGCGATCAGTTTTCCATATTTTCCCTTGTCGCGCTAGATGACACGCGGTAAACATTGCTTACTTCCCATTGGGCCGATCGGCCTACCGTTCATCGGCACAATGGAAAAAAAATTGTGACGTTTCGTTGAAACACCTTTTACATTACAAAACTGTACATCTCTGTACAAAAACTAACCTCTTCCTCGTCGGTAACGTACCAAATTAGTGAAATTGCTATTAGTGGGGTGTGAAAAAATGCAATTATACACTCGACGGGTCATTAACAATAGTTAAAGTGAACGCTGCAGGTGAGCGGAGCGGCTACTGTAGTTACGACGTGCAAATTATAGTTTCCAAAAGCCCTGTTTTCCGAGCTTCGGTTGCACAAATTACATTATGCTGTTGCTTTTTAATTTGATGTTAATTTCCATATCATATCTCATTTTACTCTTCGTTCAGGTGTTCTTTTAATAACTTACTAAAAAAATATTTTTTAGTGTCATAATTTACTTGTATGTCTTTGAAGAACAATATAACTCTACGCTACATCGTATGTATGTATATTTCTTACATTCTTACTAATATTATAGATGCGAATGTTTAGATGGATGGATATTTGTATAAAAGAATCTCCAGAACGACATACATATTGAACATAGTCTGGAGGAACACATAGACTACTAATTATGTTTTTTTTAATAATAACGCGCGGGCGGTGTCGCTGGAGACAGCTTGTTTGATTCATAATGTTAATGAAATTTATGAAAAGGTAACCTGTAAGTAGGTGGCAAACAAAGACGAGTTTTATTGTTGGTTAATAAATTATAATTTACAAATTTGTCCGGAAAACATTTATAAAGTATAATAAACCAACAGTATTCAGAGATCCGATGTTCTATTGTCAACTTATTGACGTTATAAAATTGAGATATTCTTAAAGATAGCCTGCGGAGAAGAGCGTTCTTTAATATAATCGAACAGCGTCTTACAGCCAGATAGTCTGTATAAGACAATGGAATATTTTCTAGCCTATTATCAAAATTATAGGCGGCAGGGAATAAGCAAGGACAATGCCTTCCACTCCGCAATGTCTTATTTTAATGGCGTCGTTCTTGGAGCCTATATTGCATTTTATGAACAGAATATTGTCTAAGGCGTTGTATTGTCGAGACTTAACTAAGGAGACAATTATGTTGGTTGTTAAATTTCGGGGCTTGCGTTTCGTTATATTAGGCCGCTGGGATTGTTTGCTGTTTGATTATTTGTCAGTACATTCTCAGTTAACACGTTCCATTCATTTATAATTTACGTGTTGTAAATGTATTAGAAATTACGTATTATATTTAAATACAAAATATTTGATTTCTGATGTAAAAAGGGACCCTAAGAACATCCCTATGATTTCAATATGGAACATAAAGTCGTGAAGTAAATTAAAAACGTTATAAAATTCCATTTAAGTGTCGAGAAAGGTGCGCAATAAAATCGAAACGCTAAGAGCAACATTATGCACTGC